GGGCCGGTGAGCACATCCCCGGGGAAAGCTGGAGCAGGGGAGGGCACCGGGGGAGGAAGGGGTCGCTGGAGGGGACAGCCTCAGAGCAAGCTGGAGGGGCCACAGCGCAACAGACCTGCCCCACCCGCCACGCCTGCCCCGCTGGGAAGCCGGTCACAGGGGGCGGCGCCAACATGGAACCCCCTCCCCAGGCCTCCGCTGACTGCCAGCCCCACCCCCGACTTGGGGGAGATCATCTTTAAAAGACACGAGTATGGGGGCAGTGAGTTTGCGTGTGAAGAGGAGAAGAGGTAACACCGACCGAGCCCAAAGCATGTGCTGGGCGTCCCCCACGGGGCACTCAGACACCCCTGTGAGCAAGATGCCACTGCCCCGCTTTGCAGGGGATGAAACTGAGTCCCACAAAAGCACGCAGACTGGTGCGGGGCCCCACAGCTGGAAGCAGGTGGGCGAGGATTCGAACCCAGCCCTGCTCGCTCCCACGTCCCTGCTTTCTGCTGCATCCCCCTTTAGTCCAAGCAGATCCCAAGACCTGAATTCAGAGCCTGAAGTGACGCAGCTCCCAGGGGAGACAGAGTTCTGGCAGGTTCCGCCTTGCCCAGCATCTCGTGAGGGCAAGGAAGGTCACGGTGCTGAGGCGGGAGTTACGTCCAAGAGCCCACGCAGGGCCTCCAAGCCGCTTCCATTTCAAGGCGGGCGGGCCGGCTCTGGCTCTTCCTTCATTTCCTCCTCGCCACAACCAGCCCAGCCCGAGGGACCAGGAGAAAACAGCACTGTTCACAACTGCTCTCCTGGGCGCAGAGGGGCGAGCCAGGCCTGGGCATGCGGTCTGCGATCCCCAGACACTCGCATGCGGCAGCCCAGCTCCACTCCCGAGTGAGACGGTCCTCACCAGAGCCACCACCTGCCACCTGGACCTTGGACGTCCAGCCTCCAAACTGTAGAGATAATGTCTGCGGTTTAAGATCCCCGTCTGTGGGGTTTTGTCATGGAGACCCGAGATACTAAGCCCCTCGGCAGGGGGTCGCCTACAGGAGTGAAGAATGGAAACCAGCCCGGCATCAGGCACGAGGGGCAGCAGAGCCCATGGTGGCAGTGTGGATCAGCCTCAGCAGGCAGAGTACGGAAAGTCTGTCATCACACGGGAAGAAGCAGGATACAAAACTGCATTTGGAATAAGATCTCAACTGTGGAAACACACTCATGCACACATGTCTGTCAATGCGTGCGTGTGTACATATGTGTGCATGTAGACACAGGTACATGCATGTTGCGTTTGAGGGTATTGGATGTAAACAGTCGATGTTAACTGAAAGAGCTTATGTCCAGCGGCAATTCACTTGTCTTTACTGGTCTTTGGGGGGTATTATATAAATTTCATACAACGGACATGTATTACTAGTAAAATCATAAAAAGGAATTTTTTTAAAGAACACAGCGGCTGGACTCACCACTAAGCCTGGGAACAACAGTAATCGCAGTGACCCCTGATTAAGGCGCAGGGAACGCACAGCCAGAACCACTCGCTGCTGTCGCCACCAGGGCTTAACTGAGAGGAGGAGGCGCAGAGAAGCAGACGGTGAGGAGCATGGGGTCAGGGCCGGGGAGCTGAGCCCCACCGAGGTGCTCTGAGCTCCTGCAATGGGCGGGTCTATCCCATCCGTGAGGCTATGGGAAGCCGGTAGTATTCGCACGCGGTCTCCCACATGCAGGGGATCCCCAGACAGCGGGAAGGGCAGAGGCCGAGGATGAGGCCTGTGCTCCAGCACGGGTGAAGAGGAGGGAATTTGAATGGCTCGATTCTCACGTTTTCCTGTGCAACTGAGATTACAGCCCACGAGGTGTGGGTGCTGGAGGTGAGTCTCAGGGTAGCCCGGACAAGGGCCGTGGCTCCAGGTTCAAGGCCACGCTCCGCCTCCCCAGCGGGAATCCTGGGCAAGTCACTGCTTTTCCAGGGCCACCTCCTCCCCTGTAAGATGGGGTGGCTCGGCCCACAGCTGAAGGTCCTTCTGATGACTGAGGAGAGCGGGCGAATGTCACAGAGAGCCTGGGGAGCAGAACTCAGTCTATGCTCAAGAGATGAGGCTCCTGCAGCTTCTCGATGTCAGGCCCCTTGGTTCAGGGGGCGGTCACGAGGGGCCCCTGTGCACACATGTGGAGGGTGACTCACCCCCCCACACACACCTGAGGGCCGTGGGGCTTTGTGCCCTCCGAGCTGGACCTTGGGGAGGCAGGAGACAGAGAGCACCCAACAGAGAGCACCCTCGGCCCCTTCCCTTCAGGGTCTGCAGTGGGTTGAATCGTGACCTTCCAAGATACGTCCGCATCCGAACCCCGGGAACCTGCGAAGGCAACCCTATTGGAAAAAGGCCTTTGCAGACGTAAGCAAGTGAGGATCTCAAAGTGAGATCATCCTGGATTATCTGAGTGGGCCTTCAATCCAACGGCAGGTGTCCTTATGAGAGACAGAAGGGGAGACCAGACACAGACACACAGGGAGAGGACACGTGAAGACAGAGGCAGACTGAGGCCTATGTGGCCACAAGCCCAGGGACGCCTGGAGCCCCCAGAAGCAGGAAGAAGCAAGGACGGACCCTCCCCTGGAGCCTCTGGGGGGAACCTGGCCCCACCCACTCCCCGATTTCAGACTTCTGGGCTCCACGCTCCGAGAGAAGAAATCTGCTGTTTTAAGTGCCCAGTTTGCAGTAACTTGTCACGCCGGCCCCAGGACATTGACACAGGGCTCAAAGTTGTCAGGAGGTTCTCGGCTAGGCCAGGAGGAGACAGTTCTGTCTCAGGTCCCCTGGCAGGTGTGGGCATCAAGGGCCCTGAATGGGACCTCCTTGTGGGAAAGGGGACTCCAGCCTGGTGACCCTGCCCGGGGTCAGGGGTCTGGGAGGAGGAGGCGAAGTCCAGCCTAGTGTGCAGCTGAGGCTGGAAGACCCTCTGCACCCAGCTGTCGGAGCCTCGCTGGCCAAAGGGCAGCCTGCAGGACAGGCATGGGCCAGTGAGAGCAGGGTGGCTAGGTGGACTGGCCACCGGGCCGGGCTCCTTCCCACCGAAGGGGAGAACATTTGACAAAGCCCCAGGAAAGCTGGAGTTGCCGCTCTTATGGGTATGAGGAGCTCCAACAATTCGTGGGAAATTAAGAGAGGTTTCTCCCCGTGGATGGGGTCCAGGCCATGAGGAGGGTGAAGTGACAGTAGTCGCAGTGCCTGGCACCCAGCTCTCTCTCTCTGATGGGGGCCACGCTGGTGGGGGTGACAGTGATGCAGGCAGTGGTGACATGGCTAGGGGCCAGCTGGGCCCTCGCTGACTCCCTTTGTTTAAGGAATTCGCCTGGGGCAAGCTGCAAAGAGGAACTCTGGGACCGCAAACCCAGGGCCTGCGAAGCCGTCCTGAGAGGCTCTGAGCCACCCCCTCCTCTGTCCATCCTGGTTCCCGGCCTTCAACCCGGCACCCTCCCCCGTGCATCCCTTCCTCCCTCCTCTGGGTCCAACGTTGTCCGGCTGCCCCTGAGCCCAGGGTAGGCTCCCTTCTAGATGCTTCTTCTGTCTCCCTCAGTCTCACAAGCTGGCCTGTGGAAGCTGTCCTTCCAGGGGTAGCCAGCCCTGGGTGCCCACCTGTGCCTCAGCTCCTGCCCTCTGCTGGGTTCACACCATGGCCCCGTGGCCTCGGTTTCTCATCTGGTGTTTTCCACCATGAGGAAAAATACCGAGAGAGCATGCTGGAAGAGGGTGCTGCCCAGGGGCTCGCGAGCCAGACAGGGGGCCTCGGGCAGGTGAGAGGCCGCAGAGCCAGCCTGCTGTGGGCAGAGTGACCTCAGAAGGGCCAAAGCAGGACCCTGGATGACGGAGAAGCCAAGCGGCAGCTTCTAGGGGCCCCGGCTGGGGTGTCCCAGGTCCTCTGCCTGGAGCCTGTCCTGCCCAAAGCAGCCATGCTCCCGATACCCTGAGTCCGTGGGGCAGCAGGACACAGCTGTCCATGGTGACAAAAGGGTGTGCCAATCTCATCTGGAGACCACGGGCCACAGGCAGCCTCAGGAGGGCCGGGAGGCACTATGAAGGAAACAGTGGGACTGTGCACAGGTTTCTGGGGGACTCTCAGAGGGGCCCATGTGCGCAGAAAGGTCAGACCTGGGGATCAGAATCCTTCATCGCTCATTCACTCATTCATTCAACAAACACCCCTTGAGCACCAACTTTGAGTCCCTGCGGGAACCAGCCAGCCAGATCCTGACACTCGGGGAGGGGAGGATCCCCTTCCAGCAGGAGCGCCAGGCAACACACACACACACACACACACACACACAGACGCAAACAGAGGGGTGAGAAAGGAAGAGGGGACGGCCAGAGGGACAGGGTCTAACGCTGAGAAGGTGGCTCTCGGGGTGACAGTTAGCCTGCGGCACCCCTTCCAGCTCAGGACTCTCTCACTGAAGGCTAGGCTCATGTTGTTTTTCCCCCTTAAATAAGGTCAGCGTGGAGGAGGGAAAAGGAGACGAAGCCCCACAGGGAAGGGAGCGTGCAGGACTAAGCCCGGCGATTTCCACGTCAGCGGCAGCTCTCCAGCCAAAGCCTTCTGTGTCCTCAGGGGCCCGGGCTTTCTGCTCCACAAATCTTGCTGACCCATGGCTTCCCCCGAGACAGCAGCCCTACCCCCAGCACAACAGCCCTAATCCTGCCCAGCTGCCACCTCGGCTCCATTAGGAAGAGAATTCATAAATAGGAGGAAGATAAACTCAGCAAGGGTCACTTTGGTCCCCCGACTCCAGAAACGTGGCGTGAGCCGGAGGATAGACACAGCGGCCCTGCATCGGGAGGATGGAGACGTAATTCCCAACACACTAAATCTATCCCCTCGGAAAATGCATTCCAGGCAGCAGCGGGCTGCGGGCGGCCTGGGTTCCCGGGCCTCTGGGGAGGATAACTTCAGGATGCCCCTCATCACGTGCTGGTTTTCACAGCACTGTGTTCTCTAGGAAACGCCAGGAAAGCAAAGAAAGGTAAAAGCATTTAGATGCTTGAAAAAATAAGTTGGAAAATAACATTTGGAGATACGGAGGAGCCTGGGTTTTGAGTTCCAGATCTTCTACTTCCTAAGTCGGCACAACTTCAACCGTTTTGGCTTCAGTTTCCCAAAAAAAGTCTGGGGACCAGGTAACGCTCACCGGGGGTGCTGTGAGCCCCTAAGAGAGAAGCTGTGAGGGCCAGCGCTGGCCTGGGCCTGGCGCACGGTGACTGCTCCATACATGTGGCTTTCCCACTCTCCTCCGCGTCAGCCCCACCTCCTATAAACAAAAGGTCCAACTTAGATTATCTCAAAGTCCCCAAATTCTAAGAACCCAGGTGGAAAAAATTCTGCTGAGGCTTGATCTCAAAAGTTATTTTCATATTTACCTTAGTTGAAAACGTTACCGAAAATTTCTTAGTTCTCATTCACTGGCTTATTTAAAAAAGAAAAAAGTATATATATCTACATCAGAGACCTACTATATGCGGGGTGCTTTGCAACCCTATTTCGGTGGACCCTTCTAAGGCTGTTGAGAGGCAGCAGGGCAGCTCAGGTAATTTCAAGGGGCACAAGAGGCCCTAAGAAGTCAGCAGGCTGCCCTGAGGCCACAGGGCAAATTAGTGGGGGGCCGAGATGGGCCATCCTGACTCGAGTCCCCGGGCTGTATTTGCCGCTGGGACAGCACACTGTAAGGACTGCGACAGAAAACAGAGACAAACCTGCGGGGCACTGGGAGTGCTGTCCCCTGTGTTGGGGCTTTGACAGAATATCTCATTTCACACCCTCCACGCGCGAGAGGGGCCTAGGCACCCGTCCCCGTGTCCCACGGACAGGAAGCTGAGGCTCAGAGCTCTTACGGACCATGCCCAAGTACCACTGAGACACAAGCAATCTTCTCCGTTCCCCTCCTGCGGCTCCAGCTGAGTGAGCACAAGCTACAGGACCCCGCCCATCTGGCCACAGCCGGCTGGGCCAGGCACAGACACTGACCGTGGGTGAGTCCATTGGATTCTCCCTCCTAGGAATTCGGAGTTAGGTCTGGAGAAGGTGGCTGAGCGGGTCGCTGGGCTAGACCGTGATACGGACTCACGGTCCCAGGCTGCCAGGTTGATGCACGTCCATGGGGCAGGCATTCAGCCTGGCTGCGGGGGCTGCAGGAGAAGAGAGAATTCCCCAAAGGGAAGCAGAGAGGAGCAGCCTTTGATGAGGGAGAGAGAGAAGGAGAGAGAATGGACAGGTCCAACCCAGCTCCGTGCTTCCTGACGCTCGCCCACCACCGCCTTCTGCTCTCGGGTTCGGGAGGAGTCTGACTTCCCACAATGGATCTCGCTCTGCTGAAGTCAACTGGAGTCAGCGTCTGGGTGGCAGCCCGCAGAGCCCTAACCAGGACTCGACGGCAGCTCCAGGACTCAAACCGGCTCTTTCTGCTCCCAGACGCCCACAGCGGAGCTCTGCTACAGGAGGGAGAGAGGGGGACTGGGAGGGCAGGACCTCAGGGTAGGCGGTGGGTCTGCTTCCTCCCGTCCCTGGTCCTCTTGCCGGGTTACCTGATTTCACACCTGCTAAGTGGCAAGTCCGTGCTGTTATGAGCCCATCGTCATGGGGTCCCTCCTGTGGCCCCCGTGACTGGCTGGCAGCACCCACTCACCCAGGACGAGCAAGAGCCCTCTGAGGCTCCTCCTCCTTCAATCCCCAGGGCTGAGATCAGCAAACCCAGAAGACCCTCACGCCTTCCACTCCTCTGCCCCGGCCTCAGAGCTTGTCACCAGGTCACAGCTGCTGCCTCCTCCCTAGGCCCCAGCCACCCACGTCCTCTCACCCCGCCACTCTAGGGGGGCCCACCTGACCATTCCTGTCCCTCCCCAGCTTGCATACTTCCCACCACACCTCAGGATCAACTCCACCTCCCTAGACTGGAATGCAGGCCTCTCCTAACACGACCTCAATCTTCCTTCCAGGCCTCACCGCCTACGGCCAGCACCACCACACCCGGACAACAGGCCAACAGCCTTACCAAACACCGGCCCTTCACTTCCAGCCTCCACGCCCCTGATGAAATCGCTCTCTCAGCTGCCGAGCCGCACGGTTCCGGGAAAGCGCTCAGTGGAGGAGGAGAAACTGAGGTTGAAGTCTGCAGCCTGGGTCCAGCCCGCCTTTCCCAGGAAGGTCTGGGCCAGGGCAGAGCCCCCGATGCGGGAGCAGCCTCCCGCCCACCTCCCCGGCATCTGCTTCACTGCTGGCGTGGTTTAAGCATCCTATCCCTCCACTACTCCCGAGGCAACTTCTGATTCCATTACACAGCACAAGCGAGGTGGTGTCTTCCATCCAACACGGAGCAAGCCAGACCCCCGCCGCGAGAATACCGAACACTAGGTCCAACCAAGACGCCCCATTTCTGAGACCTCCTTGCAAAGGTCGGGCACCACTCAGCTTGCCAGGTACGCTGGTACCAACACCGACCCAATGTGATGTGGCGGGCCCCGGCCACGCGATGCAGACCCGGTGAAGGGAGCAGCCCTCCACCGGCACACACCAGCACGCACTTTGCAAGTCCCGCTCCGGCAGATTCTCGGGGGACAAACTCCGGCACAGCATCCTAACAATGACGGGGCTGGGGGTGTTGAGGGCGGTCGATGTCATTGAGGAGAAGCAGGCCAGGCTGGCCCTCTGCCTCCCCCGGCCCCTGGGTCAGGGGCTCGGCACCACGGGCATTAGTACAGTCTTATTCAATAAGGAACGTTGGTGAGAAACTGAGCTTCCAGCAAGGTGCAGACGCCGGGAGGAAGTGCCCGTGACAGCTCGGCTCCTACGACAAGCAGATTGGTGTCGGGACTGCTGCGGCCAGGGCCACAGCCCGGGGCTTCACACACACGGGTTTGCTTCTCCCAGTCTGGAGGCCAGGAGTCCGAGAGAAGTGTGGGCAGGCCACGCTCCCCCGGAGACTCCAGGGGGTCCTTCCTGCCTCTGCCAGCTCCTGGGGGCTGCTGGCGTGCCTGGCATCCTTGGTTTGTAGACACATCAGTCCAAGCTGCCTCCACTGTCACACAGCCTTCTCCCCTATGTCCCTCCTCTTCTTGTAAGGACACCAGTCATGGGATTAGGGTTCAGCCTACTCCAGTGTGACCTCATCTTAATTATATCAGCAGAGACCCCATTTCCAAATCCGGTCATACCTGGGGCTTCTGGGGGGACATGAATTTGGGGGGCTACTTTTCTCTCTGGTACAACAGCAAAGTGGTTCTTAGCAGGGAAGGAGGTCTGAACAGCACTGGTGACCGGGGGAGAGGAAACAGAAAGGATCCAACAAGACACCCAGGCCTGGCCCAGTGGCCCTGTCACCTGCTGCTGACACCTGCCTCTACCCACAGACCCTTCTTTCTGCAGAGGCCTCTGCCCCAGGGCATCCGCTCTATTTTCCCACAGACTTAAGCACCCCTGACAGCAGCTCCCCCCCCCCCCCCACATCAAGGCCGTATCTCCTATAGAGACTCGCACCCGAATACCAGTGCTGCCTCGGACCCAGACCTACACCCGGAGGGGACCCTGAGGGCCGTTTCCAATCCATCCTGGTCACTGTTGCCCACAAGGCCTTGGGATGGGGACGTCAGAGCACCAGCTAGGTCCCCATCTGGGCCCTGGGTTCTGAGGGTGACTAAAAAGACAGATATTTTCACAGCATCTCAGGGTATTTTCTCGGATGCCAAGGGAGCAGTGTGCATTTCCCTGACCCGGCTCTAAGATAGACTTTCTGAGCTGGCTATGTGAGAAAGGCCTGCCCTTCCAGAAAGGGACGCAGACAACAGGCCAGCAGCCGGGAATAGATGCTAACCACGGCAGGGTCATGGGGAAAACGGAGTGCAGTGGGAGCACGGGGCCAGGCTCCATGGAGCTCTGCTGTGAGAACAAATACAGCAGAGGCAGGATGCGCGGGCAGAGGAGCGGCCAGCCCTGGCGACTGGGGTGCTGCCGCCCGACATTTTGGCTTCGCTGGGACATTTCCCATTCTGCTTTTCAGAAAGGCCCCCATCCCCTGGCTTGGTTGGGAGGGAGAGTGTTAACGGGGCCAGGCCAGCGTCCCGGTGATTCGATCAAAGGTATTTTGTAGCCATGGTTGACACGGTGATGAGTCGACTTTAAGTGAGGGAGATTAAGCTCAATAATCTTGGGGACCTCAGCCAATCCTCTGAAGTTAAGAGCAAACACTGACGTTTCCCAGAGAAGCAGTTCTGCTCAGGACTGCAGCATGAGCTCCTGCCTGAGGGCCTACAGGCCTGCCCCCAGATTTCTGACTTGCTAACCCCGCCATGGCGTGGGCCATGTCCTCAAAGTAAACCTGTTAACCAAAGCCTGTGCCTGTGCCTATAACCGTATCTACATCTGAATCTATATTCATATCCACATCCATCTACCTAGCCGCCCACCTGTCTTCTCCTATTCTCTCTTTCTCGGGCTGACCCGCAGCCTGCAGAGACCCTCAGGAAGGAGAACCGACTGGACGTCACCAGAGCCTGCCCTTAGCCCCCGCTTGTTCCTCCTTGTGGCACCGGCCACGGCACCTTCTGCATTGCCTTATTTACTCTCCCAGGCAGCAGCGGGAAGCCCCTGACCCCAGCCAGGGGGACTGGGTCCTTGGCTGAAGCCCTGCCTGAGGCGGGGTCAAGGATGCCAAGATGGCGGTGGCCCCCAGGCCCGGGGATCCGGTCCGTCCTTCTGATGAGTGTTTTCAGAGCTGACCCTTGTCTGACCTTCTCTCTGAGTGGTGTGGAAGAGTCCATCACTGGACAAGCTGTTTGCTGAAGGCCTGGGCCAGTCCCTGAACTGCAGTGCCCAGTCTGAGCCGGGAGCCAGGTGAGTGTGTGTGTGTGTGTGTGTGAGGGTGTGCATGTACACATGTGTGTGCATTCAGGGCCCTTTGTGACCTGATCTCATCTTGGGTTTCCAGCTTCATCCCACCAGGACCCTCATACTATGACCTTTAGATTTCTGCCTACCAAGGTTCTAGAAGATTCCATGGGCATCCTGCTTCTGAACCTTTGCACCTGCTGCTGGCCCTATCTGGAGCAGCTGCCACTCCAGCCCTACTTGAGCCCAGGGGTTGAACCCCATCTTCTGGAGCCATCCCAGGCTGAGGCAGGCTCTCCCTTACGATGTGTACCTCCTGGGCCCATCAGTCCTGTGTTGGACAGCACTGTCCCTTTTGGTATCTGAGCCAGCCCCCTGGCCTCTGGGCTCCTTGGGGACACACACTGTCCCCTGCCTCTCGGGATGCCAGCTGGTCCCCAGCACACGGCAGGTCCTCCACCGGAGGCTGTTGACTGTTGACCCAATCCCTCACATTCGATTTAGCAGACACATATTGTCGATGTTTGATTGATGGGATATTTGTTCTGGAGGCAGTTTTCATGTTTACTCATTAGCACTTGCATTCCTAATAACATTCCTTCTTTTGACGCTTTAACATCAAAAATTAATAATCAATGTCCAGAACAAAGGTTGGCTGGCATCGCGAACCTAAAGGATTTACTCTAGCAAGTTCTGCCTCGTCTGGCAAACAAAACCACACACGCCAGGGGCTCATGCCACTTTTGTGAATGGAATCAAAGAAATAAGATACATAATTGACAATAATGGCCTCGTGGATTAAGAGTTCTTTTCTTATTAACACGGCGGCCCCACTCAGGTGCACACTCCTCTTCACAAGCCAAGAGGATGAAGTTCTGTGCAGTTAATCTGCCCAACCCCACAATCCAAGCAGGTTCTGGGGTGCGGGAGCCTCCCAGGGGGACGTTAATTCCACACCTAATGAGGCCGCCCCGGCGGTGACCAGTCCCAGAAAACATTCTTAATAGGACCTGCGGGGAGACGTGTCTGGGCGCTGTCTCTCCACACGGCACCCTGCTTGTGAGTCCCCTCCCGCGTCCTTCTAGAAGCTGGTGGAAGTGAAAGAACGTGATTGGGGGTGAGGGGTGGGAGGGGAGGGTCTAGTCCGCTCCTTCGCGTCCTTCGCAGCCCCCTCCCGGAAGGCAGCAACCATCTCATTCCAAACCTGTCTTGACCCGGCCTCCCTCCTTGCCACCTGCACCCCAGCGCCTGACCCCTGGCCAGTGGTGGGCTCTCTGGAGGCTCCATGTCCCTTCATCCCCTGAGGAGGGGACCCACCCTGCTCAGCCCCCCACTCCTCTACCTTCCTCCCCGCAAATTCCCACTCAGCCACTACCTCCTCCCAACACCTTCCCCAAACCGTCCCCAAGCCAGCAGGTGGGGGAGGTCCCCCGCCCTTCCGTCTGTCCTGGCACTGTCTCTGGGTCTGTCTGTCCCCCGTAGTCTGAGGCCCCTCTGCACCTCCAGCAGCCAGCCTAGGATGGTACAGAGCTGGAGGTAGGAACATCCCTGTATGTCCCGGGAGACCTGCTGGTGTCACAGTAACCCAGGGTGGGATCACAACCCTGCTCCGTACAGGAGGAAACCGAAGCTCAGAGACAGCAGGGTCCAGGAGCTGGTGAACAAGGAGGTCTGAACCGGACGCCCTGCCTTCCTCCAGAGGCGCGATCCCACCCGCTGGGCTTGGGCTGGGGCTGCGACTGCTTGGACCTTGACCAACACAACTGATGTCAGCAAAGGCCACCATTAGAGGTCATCCCACCTGGGCATGTGAAATGGCACATTTCTCAAACAGCACCTGAGAAGCAAGATGTGATTGCAGACCCGGAGGAAGGAGCCGGGTCGCCAGCCTGGGCCAGCAGCACGGCAGACCCGCCTGTCTACACGCACCTGCACCAGGAACCGCC